AATTGCACGCACTCGCGAAATCGCAAAAAACTAGCATACCCAAAATTGGCCATAGGCGACACTTTAAAAGCTTTTACAGCTCATCAGTTTAGTGTTATCAGTGATTGATGGCCCTAGAACTATTTCTCTCATTCTGACGTTCGCGGCGATATGTAACATGTGCGGTGTAATAAGCGCAATCGTCGTTTTCGCAGGTATGCGCACCTGACGCATGTTTACAAACGTGTATGTAGGGGTGGGGACTTTTAAAAAAAAATGTTTTTTTTTTTATTCTTTTTTATGTGTAACTTTAAAAAAATTGGGGGACAACTTTAAAAAAAAATTCTATTTTTTTTTTCACTTAACTTTATTGCTATCACAGAGGGGGCTGAGAAACCCCTCTACAGTATGTGATAGCAAAAGAGGTGACAGGTCCTCTTTATGGAGACATTGGGGGTCTCCAAGACCCCTAATGTCACCTAGGACCCCCCTGAAGAAGCTGATGAAGCAGAGATCTGCTTCATCAGCTTCTTCCAGCATTTGAAGCTGGAGAGTGACACGAGAATGCAGAAGTGATGTAATATACACCACTTCCGCATTCTGACAGCGGAGAGGGGACCGGAGGGAGATTGTGAACCGACCTTCCTCTGGTCCCCTGTGACAGAGGCAGTATGCCGGTGTGAGTCCGGGACCAGCTTGACAGCGGGAGGGGGGAGCCGCGGAGGGGGGGGGGAGCATCACAGGACCCCATACAAGCGATCCGCCGGCTCTATAGCCGGCGGATCGCTTGTATAGTAACGGGCATCGCTGCCTGTTTTAAAATAACCGGCATTTTGTGCTCGCGCCGCGCCCGAGCGGGTGGATGTATACATGCCCAGTTACATCCAAGAAGCTCACGGCCGGCCATGTATACACAACGGCCGGCCGGGTGGTAGTTAAAAAATGCATTATACACAAAGAGAATGTAAATATATCATACAGTTTGGCACATATGGCAAGATTCTCCATATTCTACAGATATTTCCTATCCTGTACAACTTTGTGACGCCATAGTTGCTTTGCATATGGAATAATTACTGGAAATATATCCATCAGTTTTATCCCTTTTTCTTTCATGGAGTTAAAACTTTGCTATCTGTTCTACTAGGATGGATGGATAAATAAAGAGTAACTCAAGGTCTAAAATACTTTCCCTTCCTGGAGAAAATGAGTAACACAACATATAAAATACTTTTCTTTCCTGGAGAAAATTCTCCATCAGCCTCTTTCCAATATGTACCTGTGATATTGAAAAGCCTAGGATTTTTTTTACAATATCTTTTGTTGAACAAGAAGATCAGAATTAGGATAAGCAGTGGAGTGACTAAGCCCCTTATGAGGTGAAATGTATAATAAGAATGAAGCCACTTTGAGGCTGGATTACTTTTTGCATTAAACTGTTCCGAACACCGATTTTCTAATGCAGCTAAAATTCTTTGCTGCCTTAATTAGGCTAAGAAATAAACTTTCCATAATTCTTTGAACACCAGAAATCAGGCTGAAAATCAGAGTGTTAGCATTGTGAGCCAACAGAGGAGTGTGATGCGCATTCCTAGCCCAGTTAGCATACAGAGGCAGGATGCTTACACAAGAAGCTGCAAAGATGCATGCTATAAACAGTACTTTCACCTCCTACATGAACTGGCAGAAGTATGAAAAGAGTGAATGCACAGAATTACACATATTTTGGCCAGTAAATTATATACCAATATGTTTTTTTACACTGTATTTCGTTTTTTTGCTGGAATTTTGCTTTGAATAAAATATATATTTTGGGAAATGTAGGCTAGAATTACACTGTTCTGTGCACAAGCAGCTCAAGTGCACACGTGTAGGTATGAATGGGCCCAAATGTTCCCAATGGGATTAAGGTCTGGACTCTGTGGTGGCCAATCCATGTGTGAAAATTAGGTCTCATGCTCCCTGAACCACTCTTTCACAATTTTAGCCTGATGAATCCTGACATTGTCATCTTGGAATATGGCCATGCCATTAGGGAAGAAAAAATCCATTGATGGAAAAACCTGGTCATTCAGTATATTCAGGTAGACAGCTGATTCATTTTATGGGCACAATGTTGCTGACCCTAGGTCTGACCAACTGAAGCAACCCCTATACCTATTTACTTATTTGCTTAGCTAAATCCAGGTGGTGACTTTTTGGGGGGCTAGCAAATTTATATATATATATAATACCCTCTGTGTGTGTGTATGTACCGTATATACATACTGTATATTAGAGAAATCACATCCTCTAGTTACTTTACTTACTTACTTTACCTCTTTCTTGTTCTGTTAATAAATTATATATTTTTTAGCATGTTGTGTGTGCTTAAGTGATTTCTTAACTTACATTTTATTATTTTATTCCCTCAATTAAATTAAATTGATGTGTGAGATTGTGAGCACCGCTAAAGCTGTCATAAATAATGTTTCAGGTCAGAAGAACAAAAGAGACTGCTGTAATTTTCAGTCATTACAGTACAGTAAATGTATATAATATTTAACTTCACCCAGCAATTTAAGCAACCTGGTGGTTTTGACATTTTAAAACAACTTTATAATATATTATTTCTACTTTATGAGGCTGCAGATATATAAAGTTCTGTTTTGCTTGAGAAAATAATTTGTTTTACTGGGAAATATGACAGTTTAATGAAAAATGCATACATATTCAGACAGGCTTACAGATATATAATAATATTTACTGCCTGGGTGCAGTAGGCAGAATGCACTTGCTCCATGTTTTCATAGTTTTCAGCACTTCTATCAGAAAGGATGCATACACATATGTACATACTTATGGTGGGTGTGAGTGTGAGTCTACCCATAAACTTGTACCAGGCTTATCTAAACCAAAAAACAAAAATTTATTATATTGCAGCTCAGGACTGACTTTAGATAAATTGGGGCCTTCGACAAGAATCAAATGGGGGCCCTCTTTACCGGAATACTTCAGGCCCTCTGACATTATTCAGAATACTCTGCTCCTTTGTGTTTTTTTACCCTTCTAATTTAAATTACCTAACCATTAAACAGGCTTTTTGCAAGAGGTTATTGATCTCAAATGTTAACATATTTAGAATACTACACCAAGAGGGTTTTTATGTTGTGAGCTACAAGGACAGGAGAGATGGAGGAGTGATCAAAGGAAAGCAAAAAGAGGCAGAAAGTTGTTGAAGGAATGGATACACTGTGAAGCAGGAATAATCAAAAAGCATGTTATACCTTCTAGTTGAGGTCATATCATCCAGTGAGTGTGGCGTGAATACAGAAGGTAGCAGGAATAATGAAGGAACAAAAAGAAAGTAGAATGTTTACTTAGTGAAGAGTGCAAAGCAACTCAAATGGACTACCCCTGTGTGTTTTTTGCATATATTTTCTGTTTAATATTTGCTAATACTGTGTGGAGAAGGTGGTAGCTATTAACCATCCTATGGGTCAAATTGACCCAGGCAGTTCATATCACGAGTCCTTTAATCCCCAATTTTGACAGGAATTTTACAGATCTAGCCTCTAAAGGGTGAAGAGTTTGGAGAAGTCAGAAGTGAACAATCTAGACCAAACTAGCTGATTTGGAAAAATTCTCCAATTCAGCTCCCTTTCCAGTTCAGCTATGTTGTCCTAGATTGTTCACTTCTCCTGCCTTCTCTAAACTCTTCAACTTTTAGTGAATAGCCCTGTTAATGTTGTTTAACTGGACCTTTATTAAGAGCAATACAAAATAATTTTCATGTCATTGAACATGTAAATTATGTATGATTTACAATGTGTAGGTATATAAAAACACACATACACACAGCTATTCAGATATCTCAAATGAATGATTTTCTCTTTCTTTAGCTTCCTTTTTATACCCTTCAAGTTGGAATGTGGTTTTTACAAATGTATTTGTAGCATTTTACACATGTTCTACTGTCGGTCTACGTTCTGCACTAGTGGGGTGGGCAGATCTGACATCTTTTATGTTTTCTGCCAGTATTGATATCCATAGAAGTTGATGTGCAGGAGATCTTAGGTCCATCAGCCTAAACTCTCTTCACAATGCTTACAGCAGCAGGTGATTGTGGTGGCCGGGACCATCTCTTGATCAGAGGATGGACAAGTTGCTTTCCAAGTGCCCCAAAGTATATCCTTTGCTAATACAGTTTACTGGAGTTTACAAGGAACTTAGTTCTGGAAGCTGTGCCCACAAAAATGGCAGGCAGAGCGTGAATCACCTGCTGTACGATTGCTATATCTTTAACAGATTATGTCATACATGATCACATGATGGACAAAAGTAGACGTTTGACTTTTCTTGCCAGCTAAACATCTAGTTGACACAGGAAACAACAATGGTGATATGATGACCTTATCCAGAGAGGGTAGAGCCAGATTCATTGTCTCAATGGATATTGAGTAGATATTAGTTAGGTATCAGCATATTAAGCCACATTTACATACATTTCCTTTGTGTCAGTAAAACAGGAGAACTTTGAAAGAATAACTGCTGCCCTATTTTACTATCAGTTTGGTTGTAGTTGTGCAGACCCAGAGTATGTAAGATGCAAAGCATGTCAATAATGAAAGAAGGCAAATCTGTGAAATGTGTTGTGCTCAATTGTAGACAGAAGATGAATGATGAGGATTGTGATTTATTTAGTATTTTATTTTGGTGACTCCATATAATTTTCTGAGGGCAGCAGTTATCTGGTTCAGCTCATAAAGTACTTTCCATTCCCCATTGTTTAACCTATTTATGTGCAAAGGTGTGTTACAATAAACCATGATCTTTAAGACAACACTTACCTTTTAAAATGGCCAGCATTCATTAGGGCACCGTGGCACCATGACAAGTTTTGGCGTGGTACACTTTCTTTAGACCACAGAAAACAATCCATATCATGAAAGAGTCAGTTTGTTTTTTTTGATAGGGAAGGATTTTCCTGTAAGCAAAGTAAAACTTTCACACATAATTTGACCCTAATTTACTTTTACCAGGGTGTTCTGGACCACTGGGTATGGAAGGAGGGATCATCTCAAACCAACAAATAACAGCATCTTCAACTCACAGAGCTCTTTTTGGATTACAAAAGTGGTACCCATATTTCGCCCGACTGAATAAAAAAGGACTTGTCAATGCCTGGACATCTGCAGAAAACGACAGGTGGCCATGGATTCAGGTAATGCAACTATATATATATATTTCTTTGCAGACATGTTTTATAGACCTTTGACTGATGACTTCCTTTCTTAAAGCAGTATAGCCAATTTAACGCCAAGAAATGTAATGTTTTAAGGCAAGGCAATATAACTATAGGGGTCTATTCACAAAGCTGCCGAAGGATTTGGCCGTAGCTTCGGCCGATCCTTCGGCTAGCTTCGGCACCAGGACCCCTTATCCCATAGTATTTTTCTATGCTGTTCTTATAATCCTGTATATGATGGGACAAGCCATCTTGAATAACCCAAAGGGTAATAATGTACAGGGCGTATGTTGTGCCTAGAAAGGTGTGCTTTCTAAAGTAAAAGACTCAAGTTCAGATTTTGGATCTTGCTGAGAGGCCACCAGAACCTGCTAAAGGGGGGGCAGTGAGTGTGAAAATGAAAGCCAGAGTAGGGGTGTGACTGGAGGCAGAAAAGGAACAAGCCGTGCTTACCTGAATGGCTGTGTGAGTGAACAGACAATTGGAACTGTTGCATGTTTGGTGATTCATTATTTGTATTCTCTTTAATGAATCCCTGTAAGGGGTGACTTAATGGCCTATTTATAGCAAAGAGTGGATATCGCTATATGCTCCCTTCAGAACAATGTAGTCCTTACTGCACACTGCAGCTGCATTTTACAGGCCTATGGTGTCCCATGGTTTACCTCTGTGTAAAGCTACATAGAGTATGAGACATAGATACATATTGTGAGTTAGTGTTGTCTCTCTAGGAAAAGAATTGTATAACTGCGCCATTCACCAGGTGAAAATGAAGGAAAGTAAACCCTAAACAGAAAAAAACAAATGCAGCCACCATATCTAGAGACTGGTAAGCTGCAGTATGTTAAATGTTTGTTCTTACTGTAGGTTTTATTTAACTTTAAATTGACACTAAACGCGTGATGGACTACAATCTCACATTTAGTTTACTAATTTGTATTAAGATTGTAGTCCATCACAGGAGTAAGCTTGGAGCTTTACTTTAAGGTAACTTCTTTATGTAATTGGCATATCGTTTAAAATGTGTTGATACATGCGACTGCATCAAGTTGACTTTTCGTTAGAATTGTATGTGATATTGATTAGTGGGGCAGTAGAACTTTTTCATATGAAGGGCTACTAATATCTGTAACGGGAGAATGTTTGATGATGTGTATATAACTAGCTCATCACAGAGTACAAGAATCTTCATATCATTTCACTGGAGCTTTATGATGTTTTTGTCATTAATTATTTATTACCTAATATTGATTGTCATAGATTGTGCATGATGTGATGGTTATTACAAAGCGTGTTATAGGCTGGTGTAATACATATTACATGTTTTGGGAAATGGAATTTACAACTTGACTTGTTTTTAGAAGTATGTGTGCATGAAAGTAGCTTGAAAAAAAAAATCTGGTTTATCTTTAGATTTATCCAGGTTACTGTTGAACCTTATGATCATTAAAAGTATGTTTAACCCTCATTATGAATATGGAATATTATTTTAAAAATAGCCACATGATAAACATGTAGTTATCTGAAAACTGTACCAGAAATAATTCTGGAGATAGGACAGTTTCTGCTCAAGTCAGAGTGTTAGACGATTGATGTTCTGGAATCGGCTGAAATTTGAGCTGTAGGTGGCCCTATTAAAATTAGCTGAGCCAGGAGGAAAATTATCAGCCAAACAGTGACTTGCATCTTATCATGTGCATTCACTGCTCAGGTACTCATGCAGATGCGGGTGCTGTGGCTGCCTGAATACAATAGCCAACACTGGAGATTCCTCTATCTACGCTTTTTACCGTGGGTAGAGTAATCTATTGTTTTTCTTTCTTCAGCCTGCTTATGACAAGAATTTATTGTGAGAACTGGGAGAGCCTCCATTTAACTTGTGCTGTATGCACAAGCTTTTACAGGGTGTGCACATAATTGCATTCAGTTATATTTATACTACATGCCAGTATCTGTCTAGAATAAACTGGCATTGTATACCTCCTTTCTTTATAGAAATTCTCTTGTTCCTGCTTACAGCTACTGAAGTTTTTCAAAAAGAATACATATAGCAAGTGTTAAGCTACCATGAGCTTCACATTTACGGACATGAAACCTGACTGTGATCCTATACCAATATTTCTATTGTTTTTATCCTGTTTTATTTAATAGCTTAAAGTGACACTAAACTCAGGGGTTAAATCTTAAAAATGCATTCAAGTACCTTAACCATTAATAAAAATGTATCTTATTTGTGTATCACTCGGCTGTAGATCCTCAAATCATCTCTGAATTGGTGCTGACACTGTCCTTCCTTCTGGAGGGTGGCTACTTGTGTTTCCCATGGTCCCTGTGTGTGTTGTAAAGTAGCCACCTCTCCAAGCTCACTCTGCTGATGGACTACAATCTCACATTTAGTTTACTAATTTGTAATGAGATTTTAATAGACATGTAAGCTGTGGAAAAATTTGGTTCAGTTCTGACATTTCGGAATTATGCATTTGGATCCGAAATTCAATTCGGTGTGGGTTTCGGATTCGGATGAAATCCGAATTTTGTTAGATTCTGATCAGTTTACGAATATTCATTGCCAATACCTTTAAAACCTTAATATTAAAGCTGAATCTCCTAGACCCGAATGGCATTCGGGATCCGAATTTCTGAGTTGCATTCGGGAGCTCCTAAATGCCATTCGGATCTGGAAGCCTCAGCTTTAGTAATATATGTATATGGCTCCCAGACCTGAATAGCATTCAGTATCTAAATTTCCAAATTGCATTCGGGAGCTCCTGATTGCCATTCGGGTCTGAGTGCCATATACATATATTACTAAAGCTGAGGCTCCCAGATCCGAATGGCATTCAGGAGCTCCCTCAGAAATTCTCAGAAATTTGGATCCCGAATACCATTCGGGTCTAGGAGCCTCAGCTTTAGTATTATATGTATATACTTTATATGACTCCCATGTTGCCGTAATGAAAATTTCTGTTCAGTCCCATTCGGATGCATTAAACTGAAAAACACATCTGATTGGCCAGAAAAGTTACATGTCCGATTCAGTTTAGTTTTTGAACGAAATTCAGACGGGATCCGAAATTTGGAAACAGAAATTCGCATTCGGACACATTCGAATGCATTGGGAATCGGAAATTCAGATGTGTCAGGATGTCCAAATTTCGGAAAAGTTGTCCGAATTTTGATCAGGAACTAAACAAATCACCCATTTCTAGATTGTAGCCCATCACAGGAGTGAGCTTGGAGTGGTGGCTACTTTACAACTCACACAGGGACCATGGGGAACCAATGTAGCCACCCTCCAGAAAGAAGGACAATGTCAGCACCAATTCAGAGAAGATTTGAAGATCTACAGGCAAGTAATGCAGAAATAAGCTATTTATGTTAATAGTTATGGTACTTAAATGCATTTTTGAGATTTACCTCCTGAGTTTAGTGTCACTTTAAATAATCTCATAGATACAATCGGCTGCCTATTCAAAACATTTGGTTTAGATCAGTATGTTTCAATTTCATCTCCCTTTTATCATGAAAATTTCTGCCAATGTAACTCTGATAACAATATCTGAAATATAAGACTTTTTTGATCATTCCTTCTCAGCGTCTCAGACATATGTCTGGCTGTTTAATTGGCAGTGTAACAACTAAATCTTAGCTCATTGTCATCTCTATTTTCCTTTCCCTCTTTACACCTGCATTTACCTCTATTCTGAGCTCTCTCTGGAACGTATATCTTCCCGATTTAAGGAACTGCTGACACACTATCCATTCATCCTGTCTAACTGCATTTCAGACGTTTCCTAATTGATGTGTCTTCCAACTGTCTGTCTCTACAGGTATTGTGTAGAGATAATGTGACCTGCCTGATAAAGAGTGAAATTTTGCTTTTCTTGTACATGGGCAGACCAATGTATTTTTGAATATTGCGGAACTGTAAGAATCATTCAGCAAAGATAACCGTTTTATACAATTATTCGGTGATCGTGTTGGCATGGATTTTTTTTAATGTAAAGATGCCTACAAATTGCTGATGGTTTATCAGGGATCTTTCCTGTCTGATCACCTTTCCCCTAAGCAAGCATTGCCATGGTCATAATGTGCCCACAAACATATTGTATGAATACAATACAACCATAGACTTATGTCTATAGTCACCTTAAAGTGATATTAAATTCAAAAGGTTTTTAAGCCATTTCAAATTGCTGATTATATCATTTACAGTAGATGTTGCTTCTTGATATTTACCTTTTTTAGCTTTCTACAGAATCATCTGGTTCCCTGAGCACAGAACCTGATATCCTGTTTTAGGGTGAGCTGTGTGTGTCTTCTCAATGTAGCGAAAAGAAAATAGGAAAGCTGGGGTTTTTTAAGGCACCAAATGACAACTTCCAAGGCAATAGACCATAAAAAAATATATTTATTGTATTGGATTTAAAATATAGTATAAATTCATAAAAACAACCTAATCGGATAACTCCCTAGGAACTCACTCCATTACTGCTCTATCCCTTGTAGATGCACAAAAAACATGATTGATTTAAATCACAATACATGATAATTGAAAACCATGATTGTAGATGGATAATAGAAAAAACATAATGCAGTAGCATTTAGAGTTCAAAACATGATAATGAGCAGTGGATGAATAACATGATCAGAGGGTTTACAATAAGGGATAGCTGGCAGTGGAGGAGCACAGATTATCTCAACGTTTCATGCTCCAAGGCGCTGCTTCAGGAGAAGGAGGTTATCACTGTAACAAATCGATGTGTGTGCGTCCCTGCAGCCCTGTGCGGGCACGACACCACAGCAGCCACAACCCCCCAGAGCAGACAAGGGTAGAGGGGTCGGGACCATGAACCCCGCGTTTAGGCAGTAGGGGGGTGAGAGGTATGTCACGGCAAAAAGACCATTGGATAAACTCGGTCCTTCAATTGATCGTTCCCCCGTCACAGACTGAGGATTGTCTGTCCTCCACACGC